GTAGTACCGGTACAAGCTCTTCTGTAAATGTTTTGTAGAATTCTCCAGTGAAGCCATCTGGGCCAGGGCTTTTTTTGGTTGGGAGTTTTTTTATTACTATAGGTTTTATTTTTAAAGACAGAGACCAATATAAAATCCAGTTGGGAAAACTAATTGCTCCGGGCATGTCCATGGTTAGATCTTGGGGTTGGTAAATTGCAGTGTACTTTGTAGGACTTCCACTTTTAAAGGGCCAGGTAAGCAGACTGGGAAATTTCCAGAACAGGGGTAGTTGAATGAGAGTTAACTACTGTATTAAATTGTCACTCTCCTCTGAACCCTGCTGTGGTCTTGCCAAGTAAATCTTAGTTGCTTCCTCCTGCATGGCTTCCTTCCCTGTAAACATTGTATTTCTGTTGTCCTCAACTAGATTGTGAGCTTCTTTAGGGCAAAGATGTTACCTTACTCTGTATTTTCAGCACCTACCATTGTTACTTACACTTGGCGGACCCTGGTGACCACTGGCTGAGCCCTTAATATGAGACCTGGGCACAAATACAGGTAGTCCCCAATTTACGACGGAGTTCTGTTCCGACAACTCCAGTGTAAGTCGGTTCTGACATAAGTCGAATACCTCAGTTTTATTTATTTATTTTGTCACATTTTTATTATTATTGCCTTTTACTATCAGTATCTTTATAAATCCGATCTTTGAAGGTTGGAAAAATTACATATAAACATCTGGCAGTGAACCCCTGAGAATGATAATCTCAGCAAATTCACGCTGCAGCATTGTATGTAGTACATATTATGAATAAGATGTACCAAAAAAAAAAAAAGAAAAGAAGATAGTTGTAAGTGTGGTTTGTGGTAACTCGGATATGTCGTAAGTCGGGGACTACCCGTATAACAACACAGGAAGAAGCACCTACTGTAGTTACCAGAGGGGAAATCTGAATTAGAGTTAGGGAGGCCTGGTCGCGCAGTGGTTAAGAGCTGGGCTGCTAACCAAAGGGTCAGCAGTCCAAATCCACCAGCCGCTCCTTGGAAACCCTATGGGGCAGTTCTCCTCTGTACTATAGGGTCGCTATGAGTCGGGATCGACTCACTGGCAATGGGTTTGGTTTTTTGGTTTGTGGCTAAGAGCAGAGGGAACCACTACAAGATAGAAACCCCAAGAGTGAGAAGATTTTTAAGTTTGATGTGGTATATCAAGTATTTCCTTGATAAACTGGTCCAGGTATGTATTCATTTGATTATTGAACAGACACTTAGGCGTGGAACTTGCGGGGTAAGAGAAGCATGTATTTTTAATGCAGTGTAATAAAGCCACAGCAGAGGCATGCGCAGAGTATTAACCTGTAAAGGAGAGAAGGAGGAAACCTTCGTGGACGGTAACCTTGAGCTGAATGAGAGAGAAGGGAGAGCACCTCCTGCCAGGCAAACAGTCTGTGAAGAGGATTCCAGGGGGAGATGGGATGCAGCTGGTGCATGTGGGACAAGGACGGGAAGTCGGGCGGGGATCTGACTGTGAAGAACTGTCAGTGTTTGCTTCTTTCTCCTCTCTCCTCTCTCTGTGCTCTTCTCAGGAACTATGCCTTAACCACAGGTGATGGGGAGCCAGTGGTGGGTTTCACGTAGAGTGGCATGCTCAGAAATGTGGTTTGAGAACGCCTCGTTTGGCAGTCATGTAACCATGTAGATGGTGAATTGTAGGGCAGATTCTGCAGGCAGATAGATGGATTTAGAGGCAGTTGCAGTAGTCCAGGCAAAAGATGAGGAGTTCCTATTGTCTGATTCCATGTATATGAAATGTCCAGAGTAGACAAATCCGTAGAGATGGTAAGTAGATTATTGGTTGCCAGGGGCTAGGGGAAGAAGGGGATGGGGAGTGACTGCTAATGGCGATAGCATTTCTTTCTGGAGTGATGAAAATGTTCTGGAATTATGCATTGGTCTGATAGTTGCACAACCTTGTGAATATACTAGAAGTCATTGAATTGTATACTTTAAAAGGGTGAATTTTATGTGTGTGAGTTACAACTCCAAAAAAGAGAGAGATGATGAGCTCCTGAAACAAGCAGAAACAGTGAGGATAAAGAAAGTGAGGATGGATTTGAGACTCAGCGGTGGAGGACCTGCGGTACTTGGGGATTGAATATTGGCAACATACAAAATTTAGTAGATGCTGGTTCTGAAGTTTCTAGTTTGGACGATTGAATTGATAGAGAAAGAAATTCTGGGGAGCAAAAAAGCAAATTTGAAGAGACATGATGAATTCAGTGTGAAATGTTTTGAATGTACAGCTAAATGTAAAGGCCCAGATTTTAGGAGAGACTCTTGGAGGCGAGACAGAAATGAGTGACTAGGGCTTGACTGAAGAAATCAGTCAAACTTGCTGATAGGTGAGAATCCTGTCCTTCCCCCCTTCCGTATCCTCAAATCTGGTGTAGAAGTTTTTTTGGTAGTTGTTGTTTTGTTTTAAGCTGAATCTTTATGTTGCTTTTTAGGCAGAGGCAAGGCTAGCAGCAAAACGGGCCGCCCGGGCAGAAGCAAGAGATATACGCATGAGAGAACTGGAACGACAACAGAAAGAGGTAATTTGGGGAAGCTGGGAGAGTAACCCTGATTCTGTGCTAGTCCTGAAAAAATTAGTACTTGGCTAATTTACTTCGGACGTGAATCCGGTTCCCTTTGAAACACTGGGCACAGTATAATCTGATGTATGTATTTTAACAAGCTATTTTATATCAGCAAATCAAATGCAATGTTTGTTTTAAATAACAGCAAACACATCTATAGCCCTTACTATGTGCATTGTTATAAGTTAATACAGTGTTATAAACGCTTTACTTATGTTAGCAAAGATGAGCTTAGAGACTATATTTATTATAGTCTGAAATAGCCTAGTATTTGGATTAGTAATGTTATGATATCTAAATAGTAAAATACTATGAAGTGATTCAGCCATATTTGTTTTGAATATTTTTATTGGTTTTAGTGAAAGTTTACGCAGTGAATTAGGTCCCATTCAACAGTTCACACACAGATTGTTCCATGACACTGATTACAATCCCTCGCAACGTGTCCGCACTTTCCCCATTTCCGCTGTGCCTACCCCGTTTCCATCGATCCACTTTCCCTGCCCCTCCTTGCCTTCTCATTTTTGCTTTCTGGTAAGTATTGACCCTTTCATCTCGTATGGTTGACTGTTCTAAGGAGCACATTCCCCACGAGTGTTATTATTTATTTGATAGGCCAATCTGTTATTTGGCTTAAAGGTGACCTCCGGGAATGGGTTCAGTTCCAGGTTAAAAGGGTATCTTAGGGCAATAGTCTCAGGGTTTCCTTTCACCTCTGTCAGTCCAGTTAGTCTGATCTTTTTTTATGAATTAAAGTTTTGTTCTACATTTTTCTCCCATTCTGATTGGGACCTTCTCTTGCGTCCCTGGTCAGAACAGTCGGTAGCGGTAGCCGGGCACCATCTGGTTCTTCTAGTCTCAGACTAGAAGAGGCTGTGGTTTGCGTGGGCCGTCAGTCCAGTGGACCGATCTCTTCCTCGAGTCTTTGTTTCACTCTCTGCTCCAGATGAGAAGTGACCAGTAGTTGTATCTTAGATGGCCGCTCGCAAGCTTTTAAGACCCCAGACGCTACTCACCAAACTAGGATGTAGAACATTATCTTTATGAACTAAGTTATGCCACTTAACCTAATTGTCCCATGAGTCAACCATACATTTTTGAAGCATATTTAATAATAGAGGAAAAATTCATGCAAGAAAATTAGTGGAGGGAAAAAAGAAAACTAAGACTGGTAGGATCCTAATTTTGTGTTATTACAAACCAATATCCATATATAGGATCAAAAAATACTGGCAAGAAGTGATTACCATCAGTACTTTGGTTTGTCTATGCCGGGTTTATGGTTGATTTTTAGAAATTTTCAATATTAGAAAAAAGACATATAGAAATTGGGCTGATTTAAAATGGAAGGTATATTCATTTCCTCTTTTTACCTTTCCCTTCTGACATTAATGTGGCTCTGAAAATTCCCAGTAAAATATTTCTGATGTCTTATTTTAGTGTGAAGGGGGAAAACATCTGCAGAACAGTATTAAACATTTATTTTGATGTTGGATGTGGATCTCCTGCTAACAGCTTGAGGAGAAATTTCTAGATTCCATATTGTCACAGCTCAGAACAACACAAAGTTGCTTTTTTTTTTTTTTTTTTAAACATTATATATAGTTTCAAATATTGAATGCAGTTCTTGGCTGGAAATGGAAATGTTGCAATGCATTGTTTTTTATACTCCTAAAATTCTAGTAAATTATAAGAGGAGGAGACAATGACCGAGTATAAGTTCTGTTTCGGGTCCTCTAAACTATAGAGAACCGTGTATGTCTTTCCTATTGAGCGCATATTTAGCTCAGTAAGTTTCCACGTTTTGAACGTGTGATTTACTTTGAATCTGCTATCATTGCTCTTCAGTGAAGATTTCTATGATTGATTTGAGGCTTTTTGGAGAATGCAGTGTGTTGGAAAACTTCCATTTATGAAACTTTTGCCCTTGTAGCACTCTCATCATTCCTGTGACCGGAAGTGGGGACAGATTCAGAAGTGGCTGGTAGGCCAGGACTGCCTGGCATGCATGTTGTGACCAGTCGCTGACATAATGCAGTCTTGAAGTAAAACATTGACTAATAGTTTGCAAAGTGAAAGTGTTTGGCATGTGTGAACCTAAAGGTCAGAGTATCTGTTCTGTCTACAGTGGGCCTAACGTGTACTTAGAGTTCAGCCATTTTCTTTCTTTCTTTTTTTTTTTTTTAGCGTTTCATGAATGCTGTTTACCAGGAAGGATTAATCAATTAATCTCAATCTCTCTCTGTCTCTCTGCCTTGCTGCCTCTTCCCCTCTCTCTCATATTACTAAGTTAGCAGGATCTGGACTGAGAGATGGATCAAGTCATTCTTTCATCTTTTCTAAAGATTACTCTTTATTTTTTCAGCTTTCTCACCTCCCTTTTCAAGTCCTCTGCCACAACTCTCAAATTTGGTGGCTACAAAAAAAAATTGTGAGCTAGCAGAGCATGCGTCACTGTGAATTATTCCTAAATTTGATCTTTTTCAAAGTTGAGTTCCCCAACCGTCTCCTGTTGGAGAGGTTTTTAACTTGGTATACGAACAGCTTGAGAAGTAGGGGAACATGAAGCCTTAAAATCCCATACAAAACTGTGAATGTGCGTGCATTTTATAGGAAGCGCCCCAGGTGTTTTTATCATCAAATTTTCGAAGGAGTCTGTGATCCTCACAGAGCTAAGAGCCACTGTCTAATTGATGTTAAATAAGCAGCTTTCATAAGCAGATCCTTTCTGTATCAATGTTTTAAGGTACAACGAGGAATTAAAATATTTGTGGCTGGAATGACCTATAAATTTAAAACTTTATTATAATTCTCATTGTGCTATTGTTTTAGAAAAGAGAAAGAAGATGTTGAATTAAGCGGCTCTTCATGTATGTGTCGGTTACTTTGGTGTGGAATCTGCCTTTTCTTGTAACTAAAGCTAGTCTAATTGGTTTTATTTAAAGCGTCTTCTGCATGTAACTGGGCTAACATTACTGACAGTGCATTAAGAGTGTTTCATGTGAGTAAAAGAAATCACTTTTGCCTACAATTGTTTTTCATGGAAATATTAGTTCTTTTTAATTGTGTATTATAATTCTAAAATTATATTACCTAAGATTTTAATGTCTTAGGACATACAAACATTAAGAAGAAAAGCCCAGATGAAAAGTCTAGTATTTCCTGTGTTCAAGGGTCATGAAGATAAGTGTCTCTTTTTTTAATCTCTGTGAAATGTATGCAGTTTAGGCAGTGACTGTGCTAGATTTGTGTGGAGGTGGGGGTGATTTGGGTTAGAGGCTTAATATGCAGGTGGTGACTAACCCAAGTCTCGAGAGATGACTAGGACTTGGACGCCAGAGAAGGCAGAGTTTAGTTTCATGCCAATCATGATCACCTCTCACCGCTCCTGAGCCTTGCTTTTACTCCTTTCAAATGATTCTTCCTCTCAATTCTTTCTCATTTCTCTGACTGCCTTCTGTCTGCCAGCCCATGGTAGAAGTTGGCATGTGACAGTCACAATCTAACATATAAATTGCTAGTGAGTTCATAGCGAAATAAATGGTGCATACACAAACAATAGAACTATCCGTTACCAGAAGGAAGAATCTTCCCATATTAAAAATTTCTTCTAATTTCAATACATTTTTTGTGAAGAGAGAATGTTGACGATGTGAATAGGAAAGCAAAGGCATGAGGCCCAGGAATGGAGTTGAGTTTGTATTGCACGCTTGTGCTGATGCTTTTTACGTAGGTTTTCATGTCACATTATAAGACAGGTACCACTGTCTCCATTTTATAGGTAAGGAGATAGATGATTGAAGTAAACAACTTGCTTAGTCATTGACAGAGCCAGAATTTGAAGGTCTGAGGTAGTGCCACAGCTGCTAGTGAATTGGAAGGTGAAGGGAGCAAGAAGGAAAGGTCTAAGTCTGCCTTGACTTTCAGATAGTCTTAGTTTAGCCAACTTTCCATGAGCCTAATGATCGTATTTTTAAATTGAGTGTCTTAATCAGTAGTGTGTTGGTGACTCAAAAGAGAAAATGCAGTTACTGAGGTTTCCTCATTTGAAATTGAAGGCATGGCTCCGTCCCTGACTTAATAAACCTTATTTGTTGACAGAGGTGATGGCCAGCTGTATTCAGGGGGCTGTGGTTTTCTTTTAATAAAACCACTTTATCCTCACTTCAAGTGAACCTTTGAAAGCAGAGTGTATGTTTCATTTCCATTAATTTAATCTAAAAGTATGAAAACATAATTTTCCAGAAAGTCTCGAACAAATATAAACCTATCTTTTAAGCAATTGTCGTGTTTGTTCAGCCTGCGGTCCTTTCTTGCTAACCACACCCAGGATGATGAGAACTTACTGCTTTACTGACTGTGGAGGAGAGGCATCCTCTGCTTTGTGATTGGTATCCAGGAACCCAGTTTGCTGAGATCTTTTCCCATTTGGCCACTGGGGCTATTAATTAAAGAAAAGCCAATTGTCAATTTAAACAGTGTCTAAAAATACCTGGGAAATGAAGCTTTTTGTTCTTCCAGAGAAGGAGAAATCTCTTGAGTAAAAATCAGGATAGCTGGTCGTCTTCTTCCTGTTCTTTTTATGTAGTTAGCATAGATTTAGCCAGTGTTGCATGGTGTCTTTATGGGTGGTCTGGAGAGTTAGGAGATCTGAATGCTGCTCCTAGCTTTATGACCTGGGGCATGTTACTTAATCCCTCTGTGCTGCGGGTTTTTTACTGTAAAATAAAGGGATCAGGCTAGAGGAGCTCTGAGGAGTCATCTAGCTCTTAAAAGTAATTCTGGGGTTGCTTCCAGGGTCTGTTAGCCAAGGGGTTTCTTCTGTTTTCTTCACATTTACCACTGTGCAGAAGTATTCAAGGGAGGAGCACTTAAAGTCTGCCCAAATGCCTTGCCTTTCTGTACAGGAGTGACCTTACTGGCAGATTCTTAGTGGAATATGTGTTTTGAGTTTTTTTTAATGTAATGAAAGAATTGCCTTTACTGTTTTACCCGAGTATGCGTTTATCAGATAGGTTTAGGTGCTGTCCAGTACAGTAGCTGTTAGCGACATGTGGGTAATTAGATTTAAATAGATTAAAATTAAATTAAAAATTTAGTTCCCCACTTGTGCTTTCAGCATGTCATGTGGCTAGTGGCCACCATATCAGACAACACAAATACAGAACATTTCCATTGCCACAGAAAGTTCTATTCGATAGTGCTGGCTTAAGGTATAGTTTATGGCTGTGGAATGAATTATATTCTGTGTTCAAATTAACTGGCCTTATGGAGTTTACACTTTATTCTGTAGTATTCTCAAGTCTTTTAGCCATTTTAAAAATGGGGCTAGAAAGAAAAACTGTTTAAATGTGGAGGTATATCAATTCTTAATAAGATATTTTTATTTAAATTATTTTTATAATAGGCATAATTGAAAATAAATATGAAATGTTCTGTCTTAACTACATCTTTGATGGGATGTGCTCTTTACTGATGGGTTTTTAAAAAGTGCTTTTGTGGGATAGGTGGAATGAAAAGAAAGAGTAGAATAAAGGGAAGATTGGACAGGATCACATGAACTTTCTTACACCATGTATATCACCCTAGTACCTCAAATAGTAACTGGGGTGCTGGAGCATGGAGAATTAACCCACCTGCATAGCACAAGGCTATTGAAATGATCCAAGTTAACTAGCCTAGAACTGGTTACCATTTAATAAACTATATCCACCTTGATGGGCTAAGGCACATGCCTTCAAACATTTGTAGTATTGCCTGATGTTCAAAGAAAGGGAAGGGTTTTGCTTGGCTTCTTGTAGGTTATTATATGCTTCTGTTGCATAACAAAAAATGTAAATCAATGATGAATACTACAGATCAGAACACTCTATTGGAAATCAGAAATTGTGGAATCCTACTGATGCTTATAACAGACTTCGGATTAGGTTTGATCACATGCCTCAGTGCACACAGCAGGTGTCAGCCAGGATTTTTTGTGAAATTATGCTCAAAGATGATGACCCAAATAAGGCATTAAGTTGTGGTCTTGCAACTGAATTACTGTTTCTGAATTTGAAATGAATGGTCAGGCATAGGCACATCTTTTTGTTTCACCTGCATAATGATCATGCTGGATTGCCACACGGTGTCGAGAATTAGTTCTTTTTGGAAAAGATAGTGTTGATTAGCTATGAACCCAGTTGCACGTGGATTCTTAGTCAATGCAAATTAGTTTAACGCTTTGGACTTTGAGGTTCTGAAAGATCAGACATTCCTTATAGTTTCAGGTGGTTAGGGTCTAGGGACTAGCCATTTGATTTTACCTGACTCAGGACTTAATATTCCAGTGCTAATCCCTACATGTGAAAAATTTTAGAACTGCATTTAGTTTAGTCAGCTGCCAGGCTGCGGTCAATTTTTTGTTTCTAACAGTCGTCTTAATGCATGACTTGATAACTTCAGCAGTTCTAAAATACCCAGTTTTGTCTAATTAGAAGTAGCTGTTTATATTAAGGACGCACAGTCAGAGGCTGTCATTTCATTTAATTGTTCGTTTCCAGTCCAGAGTGCTGAAAGAAAAGAAACTGAAATTCTCCGCGGTGAGCGTGGAATTATAACCAAAGTCCCTGTGGGGCAACACACTGTCTCCTTAAAAGATATCTGGGATAAGGTAGACGTTTCTTCCCGCCTTGGATAAACTGAGATCCACAATAAGAAGTTGACGAAGATTTACTTTTAATGCTGAACTAAGTTTCTGTTTGTTAATAAGTATACTCCTTTATTTTCATCTTGATATTTTGAGCTCGCTTGGTCATACACAGAGTCTACAAGTGGTCAGGCATACATACACCTGATAAAATGAGAACGTTGCACGATTACTTCTCCTTTCTTTCCAGCCAAAGCATGTGGCTGCCCAGAACTCAGCTTTTGAAGCTAAGTTGTCCAGACCTGGTGTTATAAGGAAGGAAGGTGTTACTCTTCTGTTAACCGATTGTGCTCGATTGTTCTGATAACCTCTAAGCAGTGATTAACTCTCGGTCTACTTTATCCTTTCCCAGGAAGATTCGGAAAAGGCCAGGTATTCCCACCGGTCCAGTCATCATCGTCCTTATCTGGTTTGTAGTAACCTATAAACTTGCCCCTAACACTTTTCCCCATTAGCTTAAAGTAGTCACTCATGAATTTTTACTGTTTGTTCTTATTTTTATCAGGGAGTTGAGGATGCAATGTCTGTTCGAAGTCTTGGCAGTCACAGGGTTGGTATTCTAAGTTGCTTACACCATAATAGCAAAGCTTGTATGTGTGAGCTTTCTGCATCATCCTTGGCTAAACAATCTGACGGTGTCCATGTGTTCCTTTGTCTCTTAAAAAAAAACAGAAACTATCGTAGATGTCTTTTTGTTGGAAAATGATGCTTTCCTCTCAAATTATTGCTGTACAGTAAATCAGTTTTTAAATTGCGTATTTTCATCTATTATATGTTTCTACTCTTTCTATAGAAGGACTTTTGATTTTGGAAAATCAAAGAAAACAATAAGATTGATTTTATAGACTAACCTCTGCTTGGTTCTGACTTTCAGGTTTTCTCCATTTTTCATATTTAAAAAAATGATAATTAAATGGGAAATAATTTTGAGCCTTGGGTGACTAATTATAATTTTGCTACATGGAAAAATTGAGAGATTGATTTGGCAAATTCCCTGCTTGTTATATGTATAGGAGTTACCATGCGTTGACATTTCGATGAACATTTTACGGAACGCTCACAGCTTTTAGCATGTAATTGCTGCTACTCAAGGTACACGAGAAGCTGCTCCTTAAAGGCTTACGTATGTGCTGTGAGTGATCACTCTTTAAGACTTGTGCGCTAAATCTTAAAGCAAGGCTTTTAATTTGCACATTGATAATATTGTATATATACTTGCTTACACCTAGATTTTTCATCAGTAAAATGATTTTTCATGTTAAGGTCTGTATTTGTTAACTTTCCCTAAGTCCTCTTTCTTTCCGCCTTGTTTAATGTATAAAAATACATTATAGTAAACTAAAGTGTCTTCTGGCTTGTTCGTTATTGACATGTTTGTATTTTTAAGTCTTCCATACAGGTTATTTTCATGTTAGTGAATGTAATCTCCTGTCTTTTTAGAGTAAGCTAGTAAACTAATTTTTGAGCCATAAACATTTTGCTTACTTATGAAAGTTTAGACTTACAAGAATATTAACAAGCCTTTACAGAAATCTAAGACAATCAGCAGCTTAAAAATAATGGCATAGGAGAAAAGCTTTAAGATAATAAATGTGTCAAGCTTCTTCTTGGAGATAACTTTGATTTTTCTCTTTAAATACTTTGAAAAGAATCATACATGGAGTTGGTATTGAAAGCTTAAAAGTTGAGTATCAAGGACTGTGAAAACAACTACCCCCCCCCGCCCCCCCGGGCCTTTAAATGTAGGGCTTTTTCCTTTGCTTTCAGGTATGATGTTCCTAGTGTGAATTTTTACATAGTGGTTCTGAAACTGGTCACATTTAAATTTGTTGTGGCCCCAGGGAAACTTGATTACATGTTAGTTTAACCTAAAGGTAAAAGCAACTGAATTTGACCTAATGTAGGAGTCTTAAAAAACAAATCTGCAAATAAACCAACAAACAAAAAGAAATGTGCAGTTAAACTGTTGGAGGAATTATTTACCCCAAGTATCTATAAAGTAATGAGACTGATTTTCTTTTGATGGAAATTGTATCATTAAAAAAATTTAAGACATAACTAGAACACTTACAGTGTTTTTATTGTGGTAATTGTGAAAAGTTGTTACCACGGGAAAAAGGGTAAGTGCTGAATATTTTCAAAAATTAGTGTGTGATCTTAAAGATTAATGAAAGGTTTATACCCTAGAGACTGTAGTACTTTACTGAGAGTATATATCCAACATGCTTTAAGTATTTAGATTTTCCTGGAAATATATCTGAAAGCTCATTAGTAACACTCTTTAAAAGAAATATAATTAAGTTTTAAAATTTTTTTTTTGTTTTTCCTAGGTAATATTGGGAGTTCTCAATTTTCATCAGATTATTTGCTTTTAAAGATAGCTTTATCATCTTCATTTAGCTGAATATATGGCTAACTGTGTTCTCTATAAAAATAAATGTGAGGACCTAAACCACAGACCTGAATTTTCTCGTGGCTTGCCATATAATTTTGAGGCTGTGGTGTTTTTCTGCTCGTTATTTTTTTTTTTAAGAAACTTTACTTATGAGCCGTGTATTTAAAATGCTACTACTTTTTGAACCTTGTATTTGGTATATGAACATTAGCAGTGCCTGGATGTGAGGAGATGTGTATTTATGGTTTTATGCTATCTTGTTAGGACTTTGACCTTTTGTCTGATTAACTTTCAGGTACTCCCTTTTTGTTCTTTTTTATTGTGCTATAGGTGAAAGTTTACAGCACAAATCAGTTTCTCATTTAAAAATACCCGTGCAAATTGTTTTGTGACATGGTTGCAATCCCCGCATTGTGTCAGCATTTTCCCCCTTTCCCTTTCCACCCTAGGTTCTGTGTGTCCATTGGTCCAGTTTTCCTGTCTCTTCTGCTTTCTTTTCTTTGCTTTTGGGCAGTTGTTGCCCATTTGGTCTCATATACTTGAATGAACTAAGAAGCACATCCCTCACGTGTGTTGTTTGTTTTCTAGGTCAGGTACTGCCTTTTTGAAAGGTGACCTGTCGGAAGGTATTCAGGCTGGAAACATTGGTGTCAATCCTGTAGACATTCAGTATAGGAATAAAAAGAGCAAAGGTAGTTCAAGAGTGTTGGTGGTGTGGTGAGAAAGGAGGATTGTATCAAAACCCTGAGATTAGAATTGAAACAGCCTGTATCTATTAGTTATGACGACGATTAGACCATTGACAATGTGGAACATGAGTGGCTGCCTTAAAAAAAAACTCACAAAGCTTGGTTATACTGTCGACTGTCACTGCTTTATATGCTGGAATACAAGAAAACTGTAAGGTACAGGTGATCCAGATGAGATGAGCTTGAATCAGAGCAGTCAGGCATACATTGCTATTTCTCATTGGTGGACATGTTTAGTTCCTATTTATGTATCAATGGCCTTAGTATAATTTAATGAATTTATTTTTCTTAAAATGTTTGCAATTTGTGTTTTATCATTACACTGTTTAATTCCATTGAAGAACCCATCCAAGGATATAACTGGGACACATTGGAGCAGAGCCAGTACCCCCAAAAGGAAAGACATCATGGTGTGTAGCCCAGAAAAATGCATGGTGTTACGGTGTTAGGTATTATGCGTTCGCTGCTGGTTGACTCAGCCTTCTGGGGTTTTGAGAAGTAGGTACATTCTGATAGAAGTTGATGCTCGGTTAGCTTTGTTTCCATACCTCTTTGCTGTTATGTTTTGTTTCCAAATGAAAACTTACAGGCAAATTGTTCTGAGAGTTTTAAAATATATATATATATATTTTGGTAAATGTTAATAACAAATTTGGAAATATTTTAGCTAGAGCCATTGATATTTTTGATTTTTCTCCTTTGAGGAATCATTTTGCTTTTAAAATAACATAAATATCAACTGTTATTTATTGTACGAGTTCTTTTTCTTTGCTCCATGTTCTAGTAGCAATTTGGATGTCCAAGTCATGGATTTCTCTGTCAGATAGATTCAACAATTTTTTAAACCCAGCTGAATTCACCATTATATTTTGGAAAAGGAAACGGAATAGATTAATTTCAATTCAACTGTGTTAAATCCTATGCTGAAGAAATAAGATGGCTACTCTCTTCAATGAAATTTATCTGGTTGGGAGGATGGAATAGTGTATATGCTAGAATGTGTGGCTTGAGTAATAATGTGTTTTGATCATTTTTTTTTTCCTTTCCCTTTTAAACAAATGGGTTAGATATTAACTGAGAAAAGTAAATTAAATTTACTGTAGATAAGGAACTTTATTTTCAGGCAAATAACACCTCGGAAAGTTTCATTATACATTTTAGACAATTTTGGATAAACAAAATTTTGTTACACATGCAATAATAACACTCTTATTGCTTGTCTTTTCTGGTAGTTTTTAGGATTAAAAAAAAAAAGCAAAACCCGTTGCCATTGGGTCGATTCTGACTCATAGCGACTGTACAGGACAGAGTAGACCTGCCCCATAGGGTTTCCAAGGAGTGGCTGGTGGATTCGAACTGTCGACCTTCTGGTTAGCAGCTGAGCTCTTAACCACTGTGCTCCAAAGATACATTTACCAAACAATAAATATTTAAACTGCCAGAGGAACTTGTTCATTACTTTTATTTATTTTATACATTGGTGTCCTGGCTGAGATTGCTTCAGACAGGTAAGTCAGAATGCTTAAAGAAGTAATGTTTGGAAACCACAAATCTGAGTACAGTAGTTATTACTTAGGTACTTGGATTTGAAATGTGACATTACATATTTTACTTTTTTTTTTTTTTAAGGACCCTACATAAAATGTAGGTTTTCTGGTCTTAACATACATTTTATATATTTTTCTTTGATTTACATTTAATAATATACTTTGATCTGACCCCGTCTCTCAGTTTGTTCAGCATTTTTAATGGGGAAGGTTTTTGAGGAAGGATGCCTTTCAGGTGTGTTTCTGCAGGCAGATCCAAGGGAACTCTCCCCATTTTGATGCTGTTGTTTTTTCTAAGCTTAACCCTGCCAATTCTGTACTCTTGCCTCATTGCCTGTCCATGTTTCAAATGATGGGAAAATAATGAAAAGTAAAGCATCTTTTGACTTCAGAATGCTTAATCCCTGCATTTAAAGGTTCCTTAAGTGTTTTGTGCTATTGTGTACTGAGATTGAATTCTCACCATTAAGATTATGAGTTCTGTTACTTAGAAGAGAAATAGACATGCAATTTTAAATACACACACAGTTTAGCAACAGTTTATAGTAGGAGAAAGTGGCCGGGGGGGAGAATAGTCTTTAATTCAAGTGCAATAACCTTCGCATTTGATAATATTTGACTTTAAAAAATAGTGCTGGACTTCTAATAATTTTGCAAATGTTCCTTTTTTTTCTCTTTGTATTTCTTAATTTGGAAATACATCCAATTCTCACCTTTTTCTGAAATCCAGTATGATGCTATCAAGGATAGATCCTCCAGACTTCCATCATTAGTACGTAGTGCATGACTGTGTTAAATGCAGAGTTTTACTTTATCCCCACCTGGTGATGCTAATCATTGATTGTGACTAACTTTCACGGGTTTGTTATGATGTTGTGGGGGAGCCAAACTTACTGTTTTGTAATTGCATGATAATTTATCATTTGAGTAATAATTTTTCTTTGAGAATTTCAAGATCAGTGAAAATGATTTGCTTCCCTGTTCAGGACTGCAGTTGGTATTAACAACATCTTTTGTTAGAATGATGAGCCAGCCAGCCAGCTGATCCGCACTCAGTGCCCAGTGAGGCGTGTTCCTCACAGGTTTGGTTACACGCTGAGCTGTGGGAGCGCAGGACCGGCTGTGCTTCCTGTTATGTGTCGTGAGCTAGCAGGTGTAAGGTCACTAACAGAAACATCTAGCAGTCCCAGGTGAAACCAGAGACACCAGTATGTCTGAGCATTTTGGTTTGATTTAGTTTTTTTTTTTTTTTTGTAGTATGTCATTTTAACCAAGGAAGTTAAGCTATAGCATGCTTTTCTTGGGTTAATACTATGTCAGAAGGTTACCTGAGTGTCTAGACTATATAGGCATCTCTTAAAATGTTCAGGGTGATGTATAAAATGAAAGATATGCATATTGAAAAAGGAGTTCATGATCCTTGATTTGAAGCCTAGCTGCACAGGCGTGAGATGGCTTGCCTGGAGCAGAGAGTGTTCACCTGCGTTTGGCAGTTGATAGAGAGGACACTTCCAGCTGCTCCCCTCATTTCAGGCAAGCAGTACATAGCCAGATTGAATTTCTTGTTTGCCAGTTGGCCTTTTTAGTAGTTCTGCTGTCCTTTACCGCCCCCTCATATACACTTGGCTCTCGGTACCCCTAGCAGAAGTTATGTATTGAGACAGTTCTTTCTTCAAAGCTTCCTTATACAAGGCGATTGTCTAGTAATGCTCCTCCTGTGCTGGCCAGCCTGTGACATCTTGGCTGTTTTCCCCCTGAGCAGCACATGCTCTGGGGCCACCAACCTGGGCTGAGAGTACTGCCTAGGGCAGTGCCTTGTCGTGTTCTTTGTTCTGTCAGTCCTGCTTTGGATGATCCAAAGGATTGCTTTTTGGCCTCTTTTTTTTTTCTTGGTAAGGAAGACAGTAGAAGGAGGTGGACTCTCTTGTCACTCATACCTTTAAAAAGAAGATAGAGGGACTCCAGTGAGGTGTGGGGTGAAGATCCCCACGGATATCCTGTCTGGCTCTGAGTCCTAATTAAATTTTCCTTAGCTGGCTGGACATTGAATTGGATGCTGGGCAGAGGGGGAGTGAGGGAGAGTGCAGATGTGAACTTAGAGGGGCCACGAATCTTGTCCACTCAAGTGCAGTGAGTCGCTTACTAACAGATGGGGAATAGATTGCATGTAGACTACTCTTTTTCTCATATGGACCCTTTGTGTGTATAATTTTAAGATTCACTGCATAAAATTGCTTTTAAAACTTTGCCATTAAAGTTAATATAAAATATTCACTTCCAGAGTCATTCCTATAGTCACTCCTACGGAATGAAGAGGAGGCCTTCCGGTTCTCATAAAGATCCCCTGGTTAGTTCTCTTGTGTCTTGTATGTCTCCTTCTGCTGAGGATTTTTAGGGGACTTAAGAATTATGATTGCTTTGGGGTGCTCCTAAAGCATTATCGAAACTTGTTAATGTATGTTACATGGTTTATCAGAACCCCATTAAAATAATTTTGTTTTCATGTAGAAGATTCAATGTCAGATTTAACATATGCTAACCCCAGGGGCTAGAGGTTGTAAGGTATCACAAGAACTCATTAACCAGGTATCTGCCTTTATGAACCATCCTTTGGATTGGACCTTAAGAGTAGCTTCAGTGACGTTCTCGTCCTTATTTTAGAAATTTGATTTGATTTAGTTTTGGTGTTATGTTGTTGTTAGGTGCTGTCAAGTTGACTCCAACTCACAAAATAGGTTTCATTTGGAACATGTGTTTCTAGGTCAGATTTTGGGAATGTGGAATGCATTTTCTGGTAGAAATAAAAAGTGTGATGGCAGAACTCCCATGCTAACTTGAAATCTCTTTAACCTATAATGTAATTAAACTACAGAACTGATAGTGTCCAATCCAGCCTCCATGAAGACCATTTCTGTGGGGGAGAATGTCTCCAGAATGCCCGCTTGGGGCGCTCGGAGCACCTCCTTCCTGTCAGGCTGCCATAGGAGTACTGGCAAAGGAAGTGCAATCCGAGCTCCCTGCTGACTTCAGGATTCCCACGGAAGGGGCTCTGACTTTGGTGGAGTGGAGAGAGGGTTGGGAGGCTTTGGCTGCTAGAAGGAGGGAGGGGAGAGTGCTAGGGGTGCCGGATCACAGTGTCAGCAATAGAAAACCAGAAAGCCAAACCCACTGCTGTGGAGTCGATTCCGACTCCCAGCAACCCCGCAGGCCAGAGTAGAACTGCCCCATAGGGTTTCCGAGGCTGTGTGATCTTTACGGACGCACACTGCCACATGGTTCTCCCAAAGAGGGGCTAGTGGGTTCCAACTGCCAACCTTTCAGTTAGCAGCTGAGAGCTTAATCACTGCGCCACAGGGCTCCTTGTCATCAGTGCAGGAGTTTTTTAATTCAGGAATTGCCTGAATTTGCTTAGCCTTGAGTAAAATACATGACTAGAGAAAGGAAAGGGAATTTTATTATGATTTTCTCCCCCTCAGGTAAACACAGTGTATGAAGTTATTGTTTTGTGCTGTGTATTGAAAATGAAGCTGCTGTAGATTGTTCAGACTAACCATATTTAGCTCTCTCTTTTTTAAATAATTTAATTCAGTCGGTTTATTTTGACAAGTAGTGAGGCTAGGCAAAGTTTGGAATCAAATGACTGTTGAATCATTTCCATGGCTTTGCCAAATGGATTATAAAAGTGGTAATTATTTAGTTGTCCTGGATTTTCCAAGCACATTCCTAAGTATGACACTTAAATAAATCACTTATTTCCATTTCATTTTGACTGGGGGTTTATTGTTTTTTTTTTAAAGTAAAAAAAATTAGTAATGACTTGGTTTGAAAACGGTTCAACTTTAATACCAGTCTCTTGAGAGACTTACAATAATTGTTATTTTAGTTTTTACTTTCAAACATGATCCAGTGCTTTAAAGACGTTGTTTTGGAGGAGAAGGGGTTTAAAATATCAAAATTTGCCTTTGTGTGTTCAGAGTATTGTTGGTATAGTATTAACATTAATCTAAGAAAAATGTGTTTGCTGTTGCTTTTTGCAGAGCGGCCTCTACTTTGACCAGAGAAACTACAGCACTCTTAGGCATAGCAAACCCACCTCTGCCTCCTACACCCGGGTTTGTCTACACTGTTCTGGCTTGTGGGTTTCATCCCCATTTAACACATTGCTAACTCCCTTCTCCCTCGTTTGCGTTTTGACTAGTTAGAACTAATCTCTGCGTGTGCATTCATTAGTTTTGGTCACTGAATTCACATAGTCTCTGTGAGTGTGTTTTTAAAAAGGGGAACTGTTGAGTTACCATATTTGTGAGTACCATTTTTTAATGCTTTTTAATGAGAAATTTCAAACATACAAAAAAGTTCCGAGAATTGTACAGTGCACACCATGTACCTACTACTTAGATTGTACAGTTAGCGTTTTACTCCGTTTCCTTTATCACATAATTATCCGTCTGGCAGTCCATCTTAGTTGATGCATTTCAGAATCAGTTTGAAGGCATCAGGACACTTCATGGTGGGTACCCTTTTAATAAAAGCTTACATGTGAGAATCTAAACTATAAAAAGGATTAATGACAAGACGCTATTTGTTTAACGTTAGGATCTTTTGCTTTTTCAAGGCATTTGGCAAACCATACAGTTAAAATGCACATTGAGTATATGACACACAGTACATTTAAAATAATTCATTTTATAAAACCTGTACATACAGCTTTGATGCTCTTTTTTCCATGTCTGATTGGGTTTGTGAGAAAGAACTGAAAATCGTGTCCTCAGATGACATCAGGAAAAGAAATTCCTTTTTAAAAAGTGCGGTGCCCTTAGTGCATGGAATTCACTGTGACTGTAAATTTACCTGATTAAACTAAGGCACCTTGTCCATGGCTTGTTTTGAAATATGGGTTTTCTAATCTATTTGGGGCAGTGTTTGAAGCTGTAACTCAGAGATCGTTTACCTGGTTCCCCAATAACCAGACTAAGCCCATTAAGAGTCTGTCACAGCATCACTGAAGGTATCACAGGAGCTGCTGGTGACTGAGCGGTATGGCCTCCCTTTGCCATACTCCCTGTCCCATGAGCCTGTCCCACTCTGTCTTCTGAGGCTGCCGTCCTGTCTCTAAGCAGTGGTGTTCAGAGACTAAGAAGACCAAGCACGTTTATAAAAAACTGTTCTGAATGTTTTTCTTTCTTATCCTTAGTATTGGTGTGCAGAAAGGTTTCTTACTGACGTATTTCTCACTTTGTGTGTTTCTCATCTACCTTAAGCTCTCAGAAATTGCTAGTGAATTATGAAATCATAACCTTGAGTCGTGTGAGCCCACACTGGTGAGACTGATTCTCCTTTGTTTTTGTTTTTTGCTCATTTGTTTTGTTTTGTTTCTTAGCAGTGCTCTTCACTGTACAGCGACCTGCTGGCAACATCTAAGAGGCGCAGGGTCAGTATTTTGTACGAGCGTGTTGCCTTCCCAGCCACTGGTTACTTGTCTTCGCCTTTAACGATGCACTTTTTCCATAGGCCTCCCCTACGGCCAGTTCGGGTCTGCTGAGAAGTGCCAGTCTGGTTTGTGTTTCTCTCTTTCAGCGTGTGCACTGCTGGAGGTGCTGGGGTCGTGCTGCTGACTCTCTGGCTTGACAGCTTTCCCCCAAATCCGTCAAGGACACGTGGCTCTGTTGCTGAGTGTCCTGTGGAATGTGCTGCCTGTGCTTAAAAATCAAAACTTTAGGGTAGGGAGAACCGATACCCTCCCTTCCCAGAGGTTAATGCTGCTGGCCGTGGTAGGGCCTTGCTTAGTCCGTTTCCTGGAAAGGAGGTAGATTTACGCTCTCACCACACTCAGGTACTCCGTGAGGTGGCTGCCCACGTAAAGGACGTCATCTTTTCCTTCGGGACAGCCTGTTGCTGTGACCTTGGCCACTTCAGTCTCGGGCTCTAATAAAGCAAGACGCTGACTAGAAAAGCAGAAACAGTAGCTCTGTGAAATGTGCAGGCTGTGAGCTGGTTGCTTTCAAGCTCTTGTTTGCTGTGGCCTGTTTTAGTGGACTGGGAACCTGAAGCTCTGTGACTTCATTTTATTGTGACAGTGAGCGAGACGCTTTCTGTACCTCAGTTTTCTTTTCTGCTCTATTCCCTCTTTTGAGAGAATTAATTCATAAATATTAGTTCGCCCAGTTTTATAACATAATGATGAAAGGAAATAAGTAACTAGTGGGGCTTTTCTAATGAAGTGTGAGCTTGAAGTTATAATGAGACTGATGTGGATATTTGTGCATGTAAATGAATGTTACAGTCTTCAGAGTCCTCATCTTGGGAGGCTGTACACTTATTCATTCTTCAAAACGTTTTTGGAACTCAGTACTGCGAAGAAGTTATGCCATTTTCTATGTAACTTTGATGCTGAATAGATAAACGGTATTTCCTTTGTTCTTTAGGCATCATTGTACGATGGTGGATTATATAACCCTTATGGTTCTCGAACTGTAAGTCTAACTGGGGGGAGGTGGTGAAAAGGGTAGTGTGTAGGCGGGCACGTACTTATAAAGAAAAAGCCATTTAATCTGACCTGTGATTACTCTATAAGCTGTGATCATTCATTCAGTTAGCCATTATGACTCTTGCCCAGGCTGTGAGAACGTGCCTGCTGGCAGTCATGGCCTGAAGTATGAAGGGAATACAAGTAGAACAACCTCTTTTCTTGCTCAGGAAGAGGATGAGAGTAGCCGCTCAGGGCAGCCCCTCTGTCCACTCTCCCGCTCGCTCTGGGCTGGCAGGTCTGGAGGGGGGGAGTGAGGTGGAGTTACTGACCAGGGGTAAGTTTACCTTCTCCCTGGGAACCAGGGGCAGAGTTAGATCCGGAGCACTGATGTGTTCCCAGCAGGAAAAGGAGCTGATCATTGTTGTAAAACCTTTCTTTTCGGAAACTTTATAGCCATCTGAATACAGTTACTACTCATCAAGAACAAGCTCAGCCCGAAGCAGTCCCATGGTGGTGAGCTGTCTGTCTTCTTCGCATGCTTTGTGAAAGCTTTTTGGTTGTTTCGTTAACCTGTACTCACGGTTCAGGATGTCAGGAGATGCGGGGTGTTTAACTTTCTTGTGTGTGGAGTATGGTTTTTCCTCAGTTCACAAACTCAAGCACTGATTTGTCCTAACTGGTAGTTCCTGTATGAATGTGACTTAGCATGTGATTTCTTAATGAGTCTGCACCCAGTGCCTTTAGAATTTCTTTGATTTGTGTATTTAATTGTCATTCATGTGGCACGTCTTGTCTTTTCCGTGATGATAATTTAGTTTACGGGTTGGCTATCCTGTGTTTCTCATTCCACCCTTGGTTCCTGCAGTGTGCTGTTTCACCTGTTTGCGAGCACTTCTGTCTGGAAGGAGAAGAAATGAGACAAATTCCCTTCCAGAATTTAATACGTAAAAGACACAACAGGGATAACTCTAATCATCTAATCTTCTGGAGCATTAAAAAATCTTTTAATTTATGAAAGTAATAATTGCTTAAAGTAAAAATAATTGCCGTAGTCAAAGTCCCCGGGCCCTCCCTCTGTATCCATTCCTCGAATGTGGTCTTTCTTCTTGTGTATCCTCCCAGGGATCTTGCCTGTTTCTGAGTGTCCTTTATTGTCACACACATACTGCTCCTTCATTGTCACACACAGACTGCTCCTTGACATTTAAAAGGTGTTTTTTTTAAGTAAGCCATGTTTTTTACTTTTTTTCACTTTATTCATGTCTCTTGGAGATTGTTTCATATCAACACCTTTAAAAAATAACAGTTATCTTATTCCATTAGTGTATAGGCTGTGCATTTTTAAAATTACTGCCCTATTGATGGGCATTTAGGTTGTCAGAGTTTTACTACTACAAACACTTGTACAATGAGCATTCAGGTGACTTTTTTTTTTTATATAGGAGTGACAGTCTTGGAAATGTCTCTTGGAAATGCCATTTGGGAATGGCAGGAGAACTGAGGCAAACATATATACAAGCAATGCTTATCTCTCAACTATCGGACTCCACAAAGTAAACTTTGTTGACCATTAAGAAACTGCTTTAATAATTTCTTCAGCTTTGGCCTGGTCAAGGATAACAAGATAGTACACAAAAATACTTGTGTGAGTAGATCTGCAAGGTAAATTGCTAATCATGAAATGATGGGATCAAAGGGCATATGCATTTAAATTATGATGTATATTGCCAGATTGGAGCCCTGGTGGCGCAGTGGTTAAGAGCTCGGCTGCTAACCAAAAAGGTCAGCAGTTATAATCCACCAGCTGCTCCTTGGAAACCTATGGGGCGGTTCTACTCTGTCCTGTAGGGTCACTGTGAGTTGGAATTGACTCAGCGGCAGTGGGTTATTGCCAGATTGCCCACCCTCCCAAAAAACCAAACCAAAACAAAACAAAAAAAAGCCCTATGCTAATTACCAATAGCAAATGATGATTTTAGGAACTACCTTGTTATCCTTGACAGAGCCAAAGGTGGAGAGATTATTAAAACAGTTTCTTAATCATCAGTAAAAGTTACGTCATGGAGTCTAACAGTTGAGACCTGTGGGCTTTCTTTTACATGGATGTTTGGCTCAGTTCTCCTGCCGTTTCCAAGTGGTACTTCCAAGTGGCGTTTTCAAGATTGCCACTCCTGTATTAAAAAACAGAAAATTACACAGGGATGTTTAAGGAGTTGAAGAGTTTTTCACATAATAAAGGAGTTTATTTTTAACCTACTCTCCAGTAAAGTTCCACTTGGTGATTCTTGGGCTGGGTGCCATTTTTAGTGTACCAAGTATGGTGGCCACTTGCAAACAAAATTACAATAAAATATTTTCAGTTGAGTGTAGAACCCGGTCCTCATATTTTATATGGTAATAAGGTTCAGAGTTCTTTCCTTACTGATGTCAGAATGGTTCCTTAGTGATGTTAAAATGGTCTCTTAGTGATGTCAGAATGGAGATAAACTCCATGCGCCAAAGATGAGTCTTCTTCTGCTGGTGAAGCAGAAGGAAGATTGCCTCGTGTAGGGTGATGTTGGAAGTGTCTCCACTGGCTGCACGGCAGTGAATAAAGGAAAATAAGAATCATCATTTCAGTGTCCTTGCTGGTAGGAAATTCTGCCTCTGACTTACATTATTTACCTACAATATTCTCTTATCTTTCTCTCTCAAACTAAAACATTAAGTGTATTTCTTATTTGACCTCTGAGGAGATCTCAAAGGGCCTGGAGGTTTCAAAGGCATGAAATCCCTCGTTGGTTTTGGCTAGTTTACTAATAGCCCCCTCCCCCCCTTAATTTAATTTAATTAAAGGATAAGGTTCTGTTTTATTCTTTGTTCCTTTTGGAAATGTCTTTTGCTGTTTATTAATGACAGTTCATTATACCCTGAGACAGCTTTTTGTTTGTGGCGCACTAGAGATTGTGCTAATTATAATGCTTATACAGAGTGTTTGTACGCATTCCCCAGCCTCACCTAAGGTGCTTACTGTCAGGTAAGGTCTGCAGTGAAATTGCATCTTTTTCATTATCTACTTTTAACATCTATAGTTTGCCGACGATGACACTGGGAGCGTTGCGTCTTCTGGTCGGGCCAGTTGTGGGCGAAGAGACAGTATGGTGAGCGTGGTTGCATGCAAATACGATGATTTAAAAAATGACGACATTGGGTTCTTACATGAACTCTATCGGAAAGTGAAATGTGTGTTTGACAAAATCAACATTTCCCTCAAAAATATGTTCTTGAGAATACATACTCTCAGTGGGCTGTGTAAACTTTCACTAATAACTTGCTTTGGTCCAGCTCACAGTGTGAGTCATTGTGTATTTCAAAAGTTTTCGTTTTTTATTCCTTGTTGATATTTTGTGCATGCATTTCTGTGCACAGTTCTCAAGTTTCTCAAGCAAAATGTTCACATTGTGCAAAACTCATAGCTATGAATTACAAGATCATGTTGCCATCTGTTGCTTTCTTTACTGTTATATTTAAGTTTAGCCAGTGTCCATCCATACTGATAAAACCTGTGAGCTTCTCAAGAGTTGCTGACGCTGATGGCAGAATTAAAAGAATTCTGGTCTTAGGCTTTGAATTAGAGTATTAGTTGTAAAGGCAACAAATAGCTGTGTTAGAATACAAGTTATATAATTTCAGGTTATTCTTTTGGTGAAGCTGGAAATTTTACAGAGAGCTAATGACATTTTTGTTCTATTTTAAGAAACTGACTTGAAAATTACATTGATGAAGATAGTGTTAGTTTAGAGCTAGGGTAAAGATCCCTGGAATCAAGAGGCTATAATTCTTTTAGGAAAAATAGAAGGCCTTTTAATATAAGTCATGTTAAATGAAAAATTGCGAACTGAAAATCTTCACAGAGAAGAGGAGCACCAAATATTTATGAGATTTGTTGCCAAAAATTCAGTCATCTACTTAGTGGCCCTTTGGTTCTGACACGTGGGGTTGCTGTAAGTCAGAATCGATTCCATGGCAACTGGTTGGAATCCCTGGGTGTGGTGCAAATGGTTAACAGGAAAGGTTGGAGGTTCGAGTCCAACCAGAGGTGCCTCAGAAGAAAGGCCTGGTGATCCCTTCCCAAAAAATCAGCCATTGATAACCCTGTAGAGGAGCGTTCTGCTCTGAGACACATGGGGTTGCCATGAGTTGGTTTTTTGTTTGGTCTCTTGGGAAGCAGTTAATGCTCAGGCTCACAGCTGAAGAAGAAGGAGCAAGACAGGACACGTGAAAGCACCTTAGAAAGTGATGGGGTGGAAAGGTCCAGGACTGTGAAATAATGCTGCCTGGGCTTGAACCCACTTCCACTACCCATTAGTTGTATGAATGACAGTGTTTTTATTTGAACAGTGGGGATGATCAGTGGCTGCCTTTGTAGGTAGGCTTAGTACGTGGATTCAATGAATTACTATATGGAAGATACCTATCAAAATTCTGGGACAATAGGTGCCAATAAATACTAGGTATATGCAAATCTAAGTTACATTATGTTGTTACGAGTAAAAACACTATTGCTTGATTGTATTAGCCCTTAGAAAATCTTCATGCTGTAAGCTTGCTTTGTTTCTGTCGATGGGCTTCTGAATTCCCTTCCTGGAAGGGAATGAGTTTTTAAGCAAGAGAAACAGGCAGCTGAGATAAAGAATAGCTGACGAGTGAGGTAAAAACGTGTTCATTTATTAATTGAATAAATGTTTGTGTATTATTACCGTACTTTTACTCAAATAATGCGTGCCTTCTACGTTTGTTTACCAACAGCGCCCTCCCCCTGCAGGATATTTTCATAAAGATAGGGTATATGTGAGGCACTGTGTTAAGTGCTGGAAATGATGTGATAACCCAGGCAAACCAGATTTCTGACTTCATGGAGCTTATATCCTAGTGAAAGAGAGAATAAGCTAGTAAAGAAAGGAACAAAAAGGCAGCAGATTCCAGGGACTGTGAAGAGAAAAAGCAGGCTGATGTTACAGGGAACACTGAGGGGTGGGGTTGTGTGAGGGTGGCCCTTAGGGTGGGATGGTCAGAGAAGGCTTCTCCGAGGAACTGACCCTTGAGCTGAGACCTGAAACATGAGATGAAGGACCCAGCTATGTGACGAGCTGGAAACAGAGCTTTCTAGGCAGGTGCCAAGGCCCAGGACTGGAAGGGACTTCTTCTGTGTCTGGAGAACCAAAAAGAGCCCAGCGGGTTTCCTGCTCTCCATTTCTTTTCCGCCAGTTTTTGGTCCTGGGAGGAGGAGGGAATGGCGGGAACTGGGCAGAAAGTGTAGTACCCTGCAAGTAGTTCTTTATTCAGCATGTCTGTGCTTCACTGAGTTGGTACCTATAATGAATTACAGATTTTGTGGAGGAGAGCTGAGGCTTTAGGTGGAGGCTGTCCTAGAAACCCTGCTGCTGACAGCTGTGCATGTCATTAATGCTGGCGGCTTTGCTGGCCCGCAGGCAGGAACTGATCTCTGTAGCGGGAACCTCTGGTTACGATGAATACAAGAGCTTATTTTAAGAAGTTGTGATATCATTGAGGATCCCCTTTTCTTTCCTTTTTTGAGTTGGTTAATTGCAAGAGTTTTCTCATTTCATTTCATGGTAGGTAGTTTACCGTAGACAAAAAATAAAAAACATTTTCCCTGTTTGCCAATGTTCTTATTTTTTTCTTCTTTCTTTTCTTAACTTTTAAAGCATCTCATTTTTTTCTGACTCAAAGGTTTCTGCGGCTGATTATTTTAGTCGCTCCGATCGTAGGGGGAGCGTTGTCTCTGAGGTGGATGACGTCAGCATCCCAGATTTGACCAGTGTGAGTGGCTTGCACGGAGTGGTTCCAATGTCTCACAGCTTGTGACTAATGGCTAACACATTAGTTATTGACTGCCTAGAAAGTATTTATTTGACTATATTAACATAAAATACATAGTGTTTTGTTTTGTTTTGGAATGTACATCTTTATGTGTTCTGACTTTAAAAAAAATTCTATCTGTGAAAATTGGCCCCATGGAACCCATCACCGACTTCAGTAATTACCAATATTTTGCCAGTCTTGTTTCACCTATTTCTTAACCTTTCCCTCTTCTTCTTCTTTTTTCCCCCTAAATTATATGAAAGCAAATCCTAGACCTACCATTTTGCTCATAAGTAGTTCAGTGCGCATCTCTGAAAATTTTTTTTTTTACCATCATAAAACCTGTTGCTGCCGAGTCATTTCCGACTCATAGCGACCCTACAGGACAGAGTAGAACTGCCCCATAGGGTTTCCAAGGAGCGGCTGGTGGATTCGAACTGCAGACCTTTTGGTTAGCAGCCTGAGCTCTTAACCACTATACCACCAGGGCTCCCAATTATGAAATTATGAAACCATTATGAAATTGAAAATAATTCCGTAATACTCTCTAATATCCAGCCCATACTCAGATGTTCCTGATCAGTTGTAACATTTTTTCTTCCCTTCTGGTTTTGGTGAATCTGTAAAGTTCTAGGTAGACTTTGAAGGTTGAATAATAAAATACGATGCTTAGTATGAGTCGAAATCTGAATTGACAGCAACACGTGTTTCACAGTGTCACTAGTTCATAATAACTGGGAAGAATCTGAATTGATTTTAAATATTTGGCTTATGGCACTGTTTTGAAGAAATGCCTCTCCATTGCTTTCACATTCGTCAGGAACTGAATTAAGGAAGGATTGTCTAGTAAAGATACTTGGAGCATTTCTCATAATGCAGGAACCCCAACCAGCAGCTCAGGATCTACCTATCTTGAAGTCACAGCCTGATTTCCTCCATGGCTGGCATTGGTGTTGTCTTGCCCACGGACCAGCAACATCTGATTTTTATCAAGCACTTTGGAGGGAATGAGAGGCATTGTTTCTTAATAGAAAAGTTAGACGTTCATTTTTAAATGAAGAGATAACAATGATTTATAATTAGCACTTCGCCAATTATATTTAAATAGCTATTTCTGAACTAATTTAATCCTAGCAAATAATTTAAGTGTGGTTCTTACATATTGCAGAATATTAACATGAAGGTTTGGATAACTGGCTCCCAAATTCATTCTCCTGAAATACCGTCTAGTAGTTGGTTTAGCAACCTCTTTCTTCATAAATGTAGACAATGTAATTTATTGTGTACACTTTTTCTCCTAAAAACTTTGAATTCAGTCTGCCTCTGTGATGTCTGAGTTAGTGATTATACCCTTCTTACACTTGTTTCTTGGCGATTTATTTTAGTAGCTACACAGAAGTGAAAAGGTTGACAGTTTTTAAAATTTCCCCTGCTTCTGCTAATTAAATATAACCCTTTAATACAAAAGATTAAAAAAAAAATTCTAGAGCAAGGGTTGACAAATCTGACCAGCTCTGTTTTTTTAGTCCCCTGTCAATGTACTGCTGCAACCGTTTTTGAATTATCTTTAGCATAATTTTACTTGAATGTGATATTAATAATATTGTTCAATAATTTCTGCATTCTGGTTGGATCACCTTTATTTGGAATAGGCACGTATATGGATCTCTTCCAGTCAACTGGCCAGGTAGCTGTCTTCCCAATTTCTTGGCATAGATGAGTGAGCACTCCCAGCGCTGCATCCGTTTGTTGAAACATCTCACTTGGTATTTTTCAATTTTGCTGTAGGAGATTATTAAAATTAATTGTTCTTCCTTCTGAGATTGGGTATCAGATCTTCTGTTTCCTGGTTCTTTCAAACACAATTTTTGAATAGCATTATCAAGTAAAAAAAAAAAAACAAACCTGTTGCCGTTGAGTTGATTCCAACTCTTAGCGGCCCTATAGGATGGAATAGAACTGCCCCGTAGGGCTACCAGGGAGTGGCTGGTAGATTCGAACTGCAGACCTTTTGGTTAGCAGCCGAGCTCTTAACCATTGCACTACCAGGGCTCCAATCATCAAGTCAGTGTATACAAATTAGAAGTTAACAAAGGATTAGAATCCAATCACTACATTGAACAAACTGCATTATAGATATTTCATTAGACTGTAGTGCGATTTTACACTTTACTATATTAAACATGGTCAAATCTGTCTTATTTCCAGCCTGTTCGCCATCTGGGCCATCACTTGTCAGTGCCTGGCAGCCGTGGGGACTGGATGGCTGGTAGAGCCCTGGGGAGTTGGAGGAGGCCCGGCTTCAGTTAGCTTTTTGTCTGAATGCAAGACAGCACCCAGTGCGGCGCAGCCTCACAGGGAGAACTGAGGCGTCTCTGGCCAGGTCACTGCAGCCCGAATCACTGGGCTGCGGCCTGCCTGCGCCAGGTATTTTTTTGCTGCCTTAACAA